TAGGCAATTTCGCCACTAATGGAGCATGGTCCATGAGGGTCTGTGAGCGCAGTGAATGAGCGATCCTAATAGCCTGGACAGCTCTACCCTCCTTTCTTGTCCACATTGATGAAGACACAAAGATTGACAAAAGGTTCTGGGGAGAGAAAAGAAGCTTTTTCCTCTCTCTAAGGGCAATACAGATGCCGATGGATGGGCATACTCTGCTGGGATGGGAGTGGGGCTAACCTTTTCGTTCTTGTAAAAGAGCTAACATCCACAATTAGAAGTCTTGTTCTTCTTTGGGCATTATGCTCACCTCACCAGGAAGGTGGAGTGGGAAGGAGAGGAAAAATTAAGCGGCTTGGGAATGTATTTGCTTTGGCACCCAGCCTCCACCCCTTTGAAGCAAGCTCCACACAGGGAGGGAACTCCATGGACACTCAATAGCTTTGTTTGTTTTAGCCCATTTAAGATCTGAGAACCCTGCAGTCTGCATATTGTAATCAACATGGTATATCCCACTTTACACTTACAAGAAAAATTCAATTCCAATGTTATTTCAAACTATGTATATGTTAATTTGGTACTTAAAGATGTCAAAAATCCTGTGAGGTCTCTATCTAGAATAAAGGTTCTTGATCAGGTCCAATTCACAAAGACATGCAAATAATCCAGGGCTCCTGTTTCTACATCCCACCTCCCCTCTGTCTCTCTTTGGCTCTCACATAATGCGGGAACAGGAGGGGGACCTAGTTTTATTATTTCAGATCCCAAACTAGTTGTCTCCACACATAAGAAACTAAACAACACAAAGAATCACTCTGACAAATATTTAAGTCACAGCTGTGGACACAAAGCCATGCTACGAGAAGTTAAACTTTAAACACATGTCCTGTATGGTCGGATGGGCAAGGCAAATCCCCACTTAGCAAGTGTCTTCTCCCACAACAAAAGCAGGCAGCCTGGCCAATGTTTTTTCCATACTTGCACCTGCAAGTTTAAGTCGCAACTGAAGTTTTTTCACTGAGCTTTTCAAAGGTAACTTGCAGTCTTACTCAAGGTAGCGTACACTGAGAAGTTAGAAACAGGGATTCATTTTACTTCAGTCCCTGGCCACTAAATATTTTTAGGCAAGTGACTTACCTTCTCTGTACTTCTATTTCCCTCTTTCCTCTCTGAGGTATAGGTATGATATTCACATATATGCTACTAAACACCCAGAAAAATTAACTAAAACTTAGTTATTATATTCTGTATATTTTTAACTTTCTCCCTTTATTTTCCCCAAGATAATGCCAGAAATCAAATCTCATTACAATGAATGGCAGAAGACTGCCCACTTTCTTTTACCAGTTGAAATTTTATCTTATTGAAGGCTGCTTACAAAACACATGATCAGTGGCTTGTAAACCTTGTTTTATAAAGAGAGGTACATAAAAGCACTTATAACTGGTGTGGCTGTAGCAATAGGCCTCACTCAACCCATTTTATGGATGGAAAAGCTAAGGGAAGTGACATGCCCAGGGTTTCTTTTTATCAATAACCAAAATAACAGTATAATATACATAAAATCTCCAATATTTAACATTTAATTACCTCCTCCCAAAAAAAAAAAATTGCTTCGGCTGTTTACTGTGATCTAAAACATGTGTTGCCAGGGACTCTTTTTCATTCCTAGCACACAGGATCCATTGTAGGTGTGTGGACTGACATATCTATACGATATTTCCCAGATGACCCAATCTGTCTCTTCTCTATGAACGCACACATAAACAAGCCATTCTGAAGGAAAAGACCTATTAGTTGAGTTTATATCTCTGCTGGGAACTATCCTTTCATTTCTTGTATATATGGTTTGAATCAGTTGTGACTAACGGAATTTATTCTGGCTGCCTTAAACACCCAAATGCAACAGTCAGAGCGACATCATTCTTGAATTGTAGCTCTAAGTGCCTGAAATGTCTCTAGTGAATCTAGTGTATCTACACATTGCTCTGACTATCCATCCTCATCCTTATGACAACAAACAGGCTTAGACTTCTTTGTACACTTCCCAGGGACCAAGACTAAGGTTGAATATTAGGGAGTCTAAAAGAAGAGGACATGACCATGTCTTCATTAATATTTCTGAAAGACCTCCAAATGACAAAACATCGGCTTGGCTTGTGTTGAAAGTTTAAGCAGATTTAGAAAGAGTTAAAATAAGCGACTAATTATGGCAGAGGCAAAGAAGTGTTAGCCACAGGGAACAGCAGCTTAACACTGAAAATCAGATACAACACAGCAGCATGTTAAAGCAAGTATTTTCCAGAAAGCATCACTTTCTCTCTGTATCTCTCTATATACCTTTATCTCCAAAATCATTAACTTTTAAGGAGAGCTGGCAGTTCCCTATGCTAAAAGAAAGCATCTCTTCTTAATCTGCATTTATTTCAAAAATTCTGAAGAATCAGACTCCATTAAACTACTTAACACCAAAAGTGTGCCTAAGACAAAATTTCTTTCCTATCCCTTTCTTCCTCAAATCAAAGAGGAGGATGACACTACCAACCAAAGACCCAAAGTCACATTTGGTGTTGGGATGTTTCCCTGCTTCTAACACATCTTTAGTACCAGAGGACAAATTCACAGCAGATTAGAAAGATGGATAAAGTGAGTAATCTGCATGAATAGAATTGGGGTGTTTCCTGAAGTTAAGATGATCATTTATTTCAGTTCTCCTCCCATCTCCTTGTCCTCGACCCAGAAAAGAGGAGCTAGAAAGCAAAAGGACATGTGACAGAGGAGCTCAAGAAGCCAAGACATTAGAAAATGTTCTTGAAAGCCCACCAGTTAGGCATCGTTTGGCTCTTACTATCCACGGCCCTCCATCCATCTCCAATTCTAGGGGATGTAGGGTCAGGGGAATGATGTCCTCTGCTGCGGTGTCCATCCCCACAGCGCTAAGGAATGACGCCAG